ACATGTAAAATCTAAACAGACCAATAATGAGTATTATTATTGAATCAGTAACAAAAGGCTCCCAATAGAGAAAATCCCAAGACAGGATGGATCCCCAGTCAAATTCACCCAAATGTGCAAAGAAGAACTAATACCAATCCCCCTGAATCTATTCCAAAAAGCCAAAGAGGAGGGAATTCTCCCTAATTTATTCTATGAGGCTAGCATCACACTAATACCTAAAATGGACAAGGAGAAAAAAGCAACAAAAGGAAAAAAGAAAAGAAAAGAGAGAGAAAAAAAAGGAAAGAAGGAAGGAAAGAAGGAAGGAAGGAAGGAAGGAAGGAAGGAAGGAAGGAAGGAAGGAAGGAAGGAAGGAAGGAAGGAAGGAGGGAGGGAAGGAAGGGAGGGAAAGAAAGAGAAAAAAGAAAGACAGGCAAGAGAGAGAGAGAAAGGAACAAGACAAGGATGTCCACTTTCATTATTCTTATTCATGATAGTATTGGAAGCCATAGCCAGAGCAATCAGGCAAGATAAGTGAATAAAAGGCATCCAAATTAGAAAATAGGAAATCAAATTATCCCTCTGTGCTGATGATATGATCTTATACCTAGAAAAACCTTAAAACTCCACAAAAAAACTCAGATTTGGTAAATGAATTCATTAAGTTGCAGTATACAAGATTAATGTACAAAAATCAGTAGCATTTCTATACAGCAATAGTGATCTAGCTGAGAAGAAAATCAAGAAGGCAATTCCATTTACAATAGCTACAAAAAAAAAAAACCTAGTAATAAATTTAACCAAGGCGGTGACTGATCTCTACAAGGAAAACTACAAAACAATGATGAAAGAAATTGAAGACGAGGCACAGTGGCTCATGCCTGTAATCCCAGCAGTTTGAGAGGCTGAGGAAGGAGGATCATTTGAGCCCAGGAGTTCAAGACTAGCCTGGGCAACATAGTAAGACCCTGCCTCTACAAAAAAAATTCTTAATCAGCTGAGCATGGTGGCATACAAGCTACTTGGGAGGCTTGGGCAGAAAGATTGCCTAAACCCAGGAAGTCAAAGCTGCAGTGAGCTGTGATTGTGCCACTGCACTCCAGCCTGGGTGACAAAGCAGGAGTTAAAAAAAAAAAAAGAAAAAGGAGAAAAAAAAAAAGAAATAAAAAAGGACACCAAAAAACAAACAAAAAATATCCCATGTTCATGAATTGAAAGAATTAATATTATTTAAAATAACCATATTGCCCAAAGCAATCTACAGATTCAGTGCAATCCCTAACAAAATACCAATGCCATTCTTCACAGAATTAGAATGTGACTAGACTCCTAAGATTCATGTGGAACCAAAGGAAAAAAAAAGCCTGAATAGCCAAAGCAATCCTAAGCAAAAAGAATAAATCTGAAGGCATCACATTACCTGACTTCAAAATATATTATAAGACTATGGTAACTAAAACAGCCTGGTATTGGTATAAAATTAGACATATGAACAAATGGAGCAGAATAAAGAACTTAGAAATAAAGCCACATATTTATAAACAACTGATCTTTGACAAAGCTGACAAGAAATTACACTGGGGAAAAGAAATCTTGTTCAATAAATGGTGTTGAGAAAGTTTGATAGCCACATGCAGAAGAATAAAACTGAACCACTATATCTCTCACTACATACAAAAAAAAAAAACTCAAAATGGATTGTTTAAGCCTTTAGGCTTAAATATAAGACCCCAAACTATAAAACTGCTAGCAGAAAAACCTAGGGGAAAACTCTCCTGGACATTGATCTAGGCAAAAAATTTATGACTAAGACATTAAAGCACAGGCAACAAAAACAAAAATGACAAATGGGACTTAATTAAACTAAAATGCTTCTGCACAGATAAAGAAATAATCAACAGAGTGAACAGACAACCTGTTGAATGAGAGAAAATATTTGCAAACTATCAGACAGGAGACTAATACCCAAAATATACAAGGAACTCAAACAAGAGGAAAAAACAAACAATCCCATTAAAAAGTGGGCAAAGGACATGAATAGACATCTCTCAAAAGAAGACATACCACATGGCCAGTAGGTATATGAAAAAATGCTCAACATCAGTAATCATTAGGGAAATGTAAGTCAACACCACAAGGAGATATCATCCTATCCCAGTCAGAATGGCTATTACTAAAAAGACAAAAAATAACAGATGTTAGTGAGGATGCAGAGAAAAGGGAACTCTTATACACAGTTGGTGGGAATGTGAACTAGTCCAGCCACTATGAAGAACAATATGGAGAGTTATCAAAATACCGAAAATAGAATTACCACTACATCCAACAATCCCACTACTAGGTATCTACACAGAGGAAAAGGGTATCAAAGGGTACTTGCACTCACATGTTTATTATAGCACTATTCATAATAGAAAGGCCTGGAATCAATTTAAATGTCCCTCAGTGCGTGAATGAATAAACAAAATGTGGTACACCATGGAGTACTATTCAGTCATTAAAAAAATGAAATCATGTCATTTGCAGTAACAAGAATGGAACTGATGGTAATTATCTTAAATGAAATAGATAAATATCACATATATTTATACACATAAATACTTATCCCAAAAGATATATATCACACGTTCTCGCTTATATGTGGGATCTAAAAAATTTGATCACATGGGGATAGAGAGTGGAAAAATAGATAACAGGTGCTAGGAAGAGTGATTGGGGCTAAAGGGGAAGGATGAAGAGAAGTGGGTTAAAGGGTACAGGGTAAGATTGTAGGAATACAATAAGATTGTAGGAATAAAAGCAATGTTTGATAGCTGAGTAGGGTGATTCTACTTAATAAAAATGTTTTGTTCTTGGGTGATGAACACCCTAAATACCCTGACTTGATCAGTATGTATTATATACATGCAACAAAATTTCACATATACCCCATAAAGTTGTACAAATAAAAATAATAAAATTTTAAAACTCATAACTAATCAACAATGAATGTTTGTAAGACTAGGATTCCCAAGCCGGGAATGTGGGAAAATGGGGGAAAAGAAAGGAAATGTACTACAAAAGTCAAAGATGAATAATTTACAATCCTGGCTTCAAATAAGTCAGAGGCTGCAGAAGAAAAAGTAATAATAACAAATAACTAAAATTAATGAAGTGTTGTTACTAAGTGCTAGTGCCATGGAGAAGGAAGCAACACCAACTTTCAGCAAATATTTATTGAATGAATGAAATAACTCTATCAATGGAAGGTATCTTTGTGGTGAATTTTTTAAAGATTAGCAGGTCTTTGCCTGAAGAAAGGATGAAGGAACATTTCAGGTAAAAGGAATAATATACAACTAGAAAAGATCCAGAGTATATGATCAGTCTAGAAAATCAACGATTCTCCAATTGGGTGATACATTGGAATTACCTTGGAAACTTAAAAAAAAAGTGTGGCCTGGATCACACCCCCCAAAATTTTGACTTTCTTGGTATGGGGAGAGGCCTGAGTACTTGTGTATTTTATACTTCCCCAGGTGCTTCTAATATGCAGCAAAGTTTAAGAACCACTAGTGGATGATCCTGCAAATTTCCTTAATTCTGGTTTGTTGACTTTCCTCCCATAACAATACACATTAAATCTTTAACTAAGTCACAAAGTTAGAGCATGACAAGTTCCAACAAATTCACTGGGGCCTTTTTGTCCTGTGTTGTCTATTCTCTCCTCTACAGAAATTAAATGACTCTAAATTAGCCTCATGATGATGATGGGCAGCCATAAAATCTGAACAAAGGGGGTGATTGGGTCTTCTCAGTCCACTCCCATAGCCTGTCATGTGCCCATACTCAACCAGAGGATCTTACAGTGGCACAAAGGTATGGATTCTACCCTTCTCTCATTCCAGTCCATCCCCTCAGCTCCCATATTTCTCAGGCTTTCACTGTAACAAGGTATTATACATTGCATGGAGAGATATCCTTCCCATTTGCCATAGAGTGTATTAAACAATTCCCCTGGAGACCAAACAAAGTTAAAAACAAAACAAAATAAAACAAAACAAAACAAAACAAAAACAGAATAGAAAGAACTAGGTGGTTGTCAAATAGTACAGAAATTATTAGTTGCACTGTCCACATGGAGATCAGAATACTTCTCTCAACACCACTTCTCCTTTGTGCCTTTATGGACAGATTAAAGAGGGATGATGGTTTACACCAGGTGGATTTATGTCTGGTGGCAGGAAAGACTCAAAGAAAAAGATTTCTTCCTAAGGGAGACTTAAACAGGGTTCTTTCTGTTTTTAACACTTACCATTCATTTAACTTAAGGATATAGTCTTCCTTTTTATGTCACTATGACATTCCAACACAGGACAAAGGGGAAGGAGTATTATTCCATGTGACATTTGAAAACCTAACCTTTATCAGCTGCTTCTGAAGGCCATTTCTCCCACATCTCAGAGTTAACTGTACAAGGTCAGGAGCCCTGGCACACTCCGGGAGCATGCAGCAAAATCAGGGGCTGGGACTGCCTTTCTGGCATCCTCATTATGGTTTTTTTTTTTTTTTTTTTTTTTTTTGGTCTTTCATTCATTCATCTCATTTCTGAGTACCTACAGCAATGTTTCCATATCTGCCTGATGATAAAAACTCCAAAGATCTTGTTTAAAAAAAAAAAAAATACAGGTTTCCAGTTCCCACCACAGTCTTCCATGTTGAAAGACAAATTGAGGCCAGGAGCTCACACCTGTAATCCCACTTTGGGAGGCTAAAGCGAGAGGATCGCTGGAGCCCAGAAGTTCAAGACCAGCCTGAGCAACATAGGGAGATCCCATCTCTACAAATAAATTTTTTTAATAGCCAGGTGTGTGGCCCGTGCCTGTGGTCTGTTACTTGGGAGACTGAGGTAGGAGGATCACCTGAGCCTGGGAGGTTGAGGCTGCAGCGAGCCGTGATTGCATCACTGCACTCCAGCCTGGATGAGAGTGAGATCCTGTCTCAAAAAAAAAAAAAAAAAAAAGATAAACTGAGGCACATTAAAATATTACAATTTATTTGAGCATTCAGTGATTCCTGAATTGGGCAGCTCCAGACCACAAGCAGTTAAAGAGCTCCACCAAAGGGGCAGGAGGAGAAAGCTTTTTAGGGTGAATGCATGAAACAAGGCAAATAAAATATTTTATTGGTTAAAGTGGATCAGTATCCTTATTTGGATGATTCCAGCAGAAAGTCCCACTAGAGGTAAGTTGGCAGTTTCTGATTGGTTGTTTTCCTGTTAACACTGAGTTGGGTTTCAGTTTGTTTAGTAGAAACCCAGAGCAATGCAGCCACCCCAGTGTAATGGCCTCTGCATGAAGTATTTTAACACCCTGAATCAGCATCTCCAGAGGGAAGGCCATGGGAATCTGCATTTTTAACAAGCACCTACATGATTCTTACTATATACATAGTTTGAAATGGTTGGTCACTGGCCTTTGTGAACTCTATGACTCACTGTTCTGTGAATCTAGTTCACATAGGTCCTTTCTAGTTGTAGTCCCAGATGAAATGATGTTTTCTCTATCGCTATTTTTCAGGTCTCCATGTTCATGTTCCCCGTTATGTCAAGCCCACCCACAATTCCTTAAAAAGTCAGTTAGCAATAATGCATATCTATCCATTTAAATCATCACCTTTCTTTCTTGTGTTGTTTCCTTTTTTCCATAACCAAATGTTTCTTGCTGACAGACAGTCCAACCATCCCATTAAATGTGAGTACCAGCATAGGTTCTTCCAGTGTAACATTATTTTCTAACAAAATAAAACTTTCAACACCAGTTATGTGGGTGAGGTTAGCTGGAGTCCTGTGGAGTGAGACGGAATTCTGACAAAGGTCCTGAAGTTCTTACAATTTTGAAAACCTCTTTCTCTACATTAACTGGCCATAACTTCCAGGAAATCCAGGTGGAGCTCCTGTTTCGCAGGCCCACAGTCCTTCTAGTCATGCTTGATATATCTATTCCTAGGCATGGAAATTTAGAATGCAAATGATTTGTGTCAATTATGTTGGATGGCAACAAATTATGACTTTACTCAGCAAGGAGACATTTCACCATATCTGTCTCTTAAAGGCTGCCAGCTGTGGGTAACAATCAAGGGCAGCATCACACAGGCAGGAAGGTGACCCAGGGAATGGGCTAGGGGAGAATAGAATGCATCTCCAGCGTCTGCTTTCCTCTCATAAACTGTGGTTTCAGCAAGTGCAAGTATTGTAATTTGCTGTCTTTTTTTTTCTCCCAAAGGCCGTTTTGTCTTATCTGATGTTGAAATGCTTCCAGATAGCTGTGAACACCGAAACATAAAAAAAAGAGAAATCACTTGGAAATTTGTTCGTGCCTCTTGCTATGCTTGACATTTCCACACTGATAAGGTACAGCTAAATATTGACTTTTTGGTTAAGTTCAGATTAGGTGTCTGGTCCATGAGCATTGATTGTGAACCATTATCTTTCTTCTTCTTTAGGGCACTAAGTTGTCTTAAAAAAATAGAAAGGACAAAAGAAGAAAAAAGTGTTAGCTGAAATATTGTCATTTATTACCTTAAGGTCTTTCCTGAGCTGTGATAAAAATTGTCATTGGCTTTTGAGATATGGGGGTATTTTGTTGAAGATAGTGTTGTTAAACATTAGAACATATTAAAAATTGGATTTTATATTTGTAGATTATTTACATATATCTTTGAATTCATCTAACAAAGAAAATGCCACCCTATTATCAATATAAGTGCACAAACTAGGTAACTGGCAGACTTTTATTATTTACCAGTTAAACATTATCAGTGCCATACTAAAATCAATAGATGAAGATTGTTACACTCAATTTAGCCAGAGAACATCCAATATGGCAGATTAAGCTTCTTCTTACCATTCTGCTAGAAATGCAACAATTAAGAGAACCTACAATAGGGATTATTTCACCTCACTAAACCCCTCATGAGTTTCTGCACTGTCTCCCAATGGAGACTGTAAATTCCTGAAAGCAGGATGATCTCTGATTGATTTCCCAAGATGCATCATTTTTTGTGTTCTGTCATTCCTTATCACTCCACTGACTTAGGTAATTAAATTCTATTTGGGATGCTTTTCAAGTCAAATGCTCAGTCAAATCAACAGATCCCGCAGAGTTGTGGAGAAATAAGGTATGGTCTCTGCTCCCAAGGAGTTTATAATTTATTTAAAAACAAGGTAATACAGAGTTACTAAAATAATGGTAGCAAAGGAAAAATCACTAAGTTCAGTGGGAAAAATCTCACACTGTGAACTAGAATGGTGATGTCAGCCTTCATGGATAGATATGCCCTGACCTTGAAAGAATTAACTAGAGGAAGGACAAAAACATTCTAAGTTTTCTGTGAGATAGGACATTCTTAATACAGTATTTTGTCCACCATTCCCCAAGATTAAAATATTTTATATATATTTGGCCCTCTGTATCCATGGGTTCTGTATCCATGGGTACTGCATTCATGGATTCAACAAATTATGAATTTTTAAAATTCAGGGAAAAAATGATGGTTGTGTCTACATTGAACACATAAAGACTTTTTTCTTCTCATTATTCCCTAAACAATATAACAACTATTTACATAGCATTTACATTGCACTAGGTATTATAAGTAATATAAAGATGATTTAAAGTATACAGTGGGATGTGCATAGCTTATATGAAAATATACCATTTAATATAAGGGACTTGAGCATCCATGGATTCTGATATCCATAGGTGATCCTGGAAACAAATCTCTCACTGATACTGAGGGACAACTGTAAAGAAAAATTTGTTTTAGGACCCAAGTGACTCATTTGATTGTTCCTCTTTTTAAGAAAAAAGAAAACTAGACATCTTTGCTATTGCTTTCATAAGGCAGCTAAAATCTGAAATATATAAAAAATACATATATGAAACATATGATATTGCTGACATTTGTCTATTTTTGAACTAAAGAAGCTGTAATTTCACATGATTCAACCATATACATATATATTTGCATGAGCATACATACACAAATACACAAATATGAATACATATTTAATATAAAATTTCTTACCTTTATTTGAGCCAAATTTGCTACCTGTGCTAATTTTCAGTTGCATTAACGTCTAACAAGCAAGTAATAAATTCTCAATAAAGCCATTTCTATCAGCACAATTAGTATGTATTAACTATGAAGTCTGTTTTCAACATCTATAGAATGTCCCTGACTTGCCAAAAATAATATTTGATGACTCAAGTTGTGAATCATGAAACAGAATTTGATTCATAGTTGGATAGGCAGTTACATTAAATCTTCACCCCTAGGAACCCACACCCAAGTCTACCAGAAATCAAGAATGAAAGAAATTGGAGATCTTGAGTCTCCTCCACCCTGAATATGTGATCTAGGTGATAAAAGCACAAATGAACAAATGAGTGTTTCAGCAAATATACCAAAAATGAAATAAAATTTAAAATACCACTGTGTACCCTACCTACCACAGCAAGCATCTGTGCACCCCATCGGGGGCCTTAGGACAGGCCCTCCCTACTTCCAGCCACCACCACAGGTACCTGCATATGTCATCCAGAGGCCTGGGGATCAACTCATCCCCCTTGCCACTGCTGGCACCCACACACTGTCTGAGGGGCCTGAGGGCAAACTCACCCTGCCCACCACCACTGCCACTGCTTCCGGAGCCCCAGCACATTACCCAAGAGTTGAGAGATCAACTCCTGCCATCCACCACCACTGGCACCCATGTACACTCTACAGTAGCCTGAGGATAGGCCCACCACACCACTACAGCTGCCCATGTACTCTGTCCAGTGGCCTGAAGATAGACCCATCCCTCTATTGCTGGTGACTATGCCTGCCTCCCAAAAACCCAAGTACTGGACCATTCAACTTGCTGCTGCCACTATTGCTGGCACACACCTGAATGCACCACCTACAGTCCTGGAAACTGGCCCACCCAGCCCTCTCATGCCACTACTGGCACCTGTGCATGATATTCAAGGGCCTCAGTATTAGCCTACCACTGCCACTACCACCACTGACCCAACACACACTGCCAACGGGCCTGAGGACCCATCCACCTGCCTGGCCCACTGCTAGCACCCAAGCAAGCTGCCTGGAGCCCCAAGGACCAGCCCACCTAGACACGCCACCACTGGCACCTGGAACACCACCTGGGGGCCATGGATCTGCACACCCAACCTGCTACTTCCACCACTGGTACCCAAGACTGAACTATTTGGAATCCCCATCCCCAGCAAAGCTTTGCCACAGCCTCTACTAACAATCACAGCCTAGCCCACTGAAGAGCTGACAAACACCACTAACACTGATTACAAATGAAGAAATCATATAGAAACTATAATGCTGTGCCAACTCACAATCAAAGCCAAATCACCCTACCCAACCAATAATATAGATACATCTACAGGAAAAAGTCTTTACCTAAGAAAACCAATCCATAAAATTGGTAGAGACAACTGTTATACCAGATATGCAGATATCAGCATATTGCATCCTTATATAAGAAACATGAAAAAGCAAGGAAATCTTGTGTCCTTTTATAAGAAACATGAAAAAAAAAAAACGAAAAAGCAAGGAAACAAGACACCTCCAAAGGAACATAATAATTACCCAGTAACAGATACCAAAATTGGACATTTATGAAATACCTGAAAAAGAATTAAAAATAATGATGCTAAAGAAGCTCAGGGGCATACAAGAGAACATAGATAAATAATACAAAGAAATCAGGAGAAAACAATTCCCGATCTGAACAAAACATTCAACAAAGAGAAAGTTATGCTGAAAAAGAACTAATGAGAAATACTGGAACTGAAGAACTCAATGAATAAAATTTAAAAATACAATTGAGAATTTCAACAATATACTAGATCAAGCAGAAGAAGGAATATCTAAACTTGAAGACAGTTCTTTGAAATAACAAAGTCAGACACTGCCCCCCCAAAAAAGAAAAGAGTAAAGAATAAAAAAGAAAGAAGAAAAGCACATATAAACAGCATAAAGTGACCAAATATTCAAATTGGGGGAGCTCCAAAAGAAGAGATGGGCAAAAGCATAGAAAAGCTATTTAACAAAATATAGAAACTTAACCAGGTCTTGAAGAGATATAGATATCCAAATACAAGAATCTCAAATATCCTCAAATAGATTCAACCCCAAAAGGTCTTCTGCAAAGTACTTCATAGTCAAACTGTCAAAACCTAAGGACAAAGACAGAATTATAAAAACAGCAAGAGAAAAGCATCAGGTAACATGTGAGGGAATCCATATCACACTAACGTGGATTTCTCAGCTGACACCTCACAGGCCAAGAAAGAATGGGATGATATATTCAATGTACTGAAAGAAAAAAGTCAGACAAGACTATTATAACCAGCAAAGCTATCCTTCAAAAATGAAGAAGAAATTAAGTATCCCAGACAAGCAAAAACAGGAAATTTATCACAACTAGACTAGCCCTACAAGAAATGCTTCAGGGAGTCCTGTATCTGGAAGCAAAAAATAATATCTACCATTATGAAACACAATTCTAAACATATATGCACACAACACTTTAACACCAAATATATAAAGCAAATATTATTAGATCTATAAGTAGAGATAGACCCCAATATGATAATAGTTGGGGACTTCAACATCCCACTCTCAGCATTAGACAAATCATCTAGACAGAAGATCAGCAAAGAAACATTGGATTTAAACTTCACTTTAGACCAAACAGACCTTACAGAATATTTTCCCCCTTAACTGCAGAATATATATACAGGAGAATATAATTCTCCTCAGCAGCACATGGTGCATCCTCCAGAATAGACCATATGTTAGACCACAAAACAAATCTCAACAAATTTTAAAAGCTGAACTCATATCAAGCATTTTTTCAGACCACAATGGAATAAAACTAGAAATCAATAGCAAGAGGAACCTTGAATGCTGTATATATACATGAAAACTACACAACTTGCTCCTGAATGACTAATGCTCCAATGAAGAAATTAAGAAGGAAGTCAAAAAATTTATTGAAATGAATGAAAGTGGAAATACAGCATACCAAAACCTATGGTATTGGTACAACAAAAGCAGTGCTGAGATAGAATTTTACAGAAATAAATGCCTACATTAAAAAAAAAGCAGATTTGAAACAAACAACCTAGAGGTGCACCTCAAAGAACTAGAAAAATTAGGAGAATTCAAACCCAAAATTAGTAGAAGAAAAGAAATAATAAAGATTCAAGCAAAACTAAACAAAATGGAGACTAAAAAAATATGAAGGATCAATGAAACCGAAAGTAGTTTTTTTAAAAAATAAAACTGACAAAACTTTTATTAGACTAAGAAAAATGGAAGACCCAAATTAATAAAACCAGAATAGAAAAAAGGAGACATTACAAGTGATACCACAGAGATACAACTAAAGTTCACTAACAAATGGGAAATCCTAGGGGAAATGGGAAGTTCCTGGACACATACAACCTACCAAGATTGAATCATGGAAAAACATAAAACCTGAACAGACTAATAATGAGTAACAAGATTGAATCAGCAATACAGAGCCTCCCAATAAAGAAAAGCTGAGGATTGAATTGCTTTATTGCTGAATTCTACCAACCTATAAAGAAAAATACACACCATTTATTCTCTTACTATTTCAAAAAATAGAAGAGGATGGATTGCTTCCTAAGTCATTACAAGGCTAACATTACCCTGATCCTGAAATCAGACAAGGACACAACAACAACAATAACAAAACTACAGGCCAATATCTCTACTACTGAACATAGATGCAAAAATCCTCAACGAAATGCTAGCAAACTGAATCCAATAGCACATCAAAAAGATACTACACCATGATCAAGTGGGATTTATCCCAGGGATACAAGGATGTTCAAGACACACATATCAATAAATATGATATATCACATCAACAGAATGAAGGACAAAAATCATATGATCATCTCTATAGATGCAAAAATACATTTGATAAAATTCAGCAGCCCATCATGATAATAACTAACAACAAATTAGGCATAAAACGAATATACCTTAACATAATAAAGTCCACATATGACAATCCCAAAACTAACGTCATTCTGAATGGGGAAAAACTGAAAACCTTTTTTCTAAGAACTGGAACAAGACAAAGGTGCCAATTTTCATCACTCCTACTCAACATAGTACTGGAAATCCTAGCCAGAGCAATCAGGTAAGAGAAATAAATAAAAGGCATCCAAATTAGATAATAGGAATATGTTCTTATACCTAGAAAAAACTAAAGGTTCCACCAAAAAAAACTCTCAGATTTGGTAAATGAATTCAATAAAGTTGCAGGAAACAAAATCAACGTACAAAAAATTAGTAGCATTTCTACGTACCAATAACAACCTAGCTGAGAAGGAAATCAAGAAGGCAATCCCATTTACAACAGCTACAAAAAAAAGTATGTAGTAACACATTTAGCCAAGGAGGTGAAAGATATTTACAAGGAAAACTACAAAACACTGATGAAAGAAATTGAAAAGGACATCAAAAAATGAGAAAACATCCCATCCTCATGGATCAGAATTAACATCATTAAAATGACCATATTGCCCAAAGCAATCTACAGATTCAGTGCAATCCCTATCAAAATACCAATGTCATTCTTCATAGAATTAGAAAGACTGATCCTAAAATTCTTATGGAACCACAAAAGAACCCAAATGCCAAAGCAATCCCAAGAAAACAAACAAAGCTGGAGGCATCACACTATCTGACTTCAAAACATACTACAAAGCTAGAGTAACCAAAACAACATGGTATTGGCAGAAAAACGGACACACTGACCAATGAAACAGAATAGAAAACCCAGAAATAAAGTCACATATTTACAACCAAATGATTTTTGACAAAGATGCCAAGAACACATATTCAGAAAAGGACAGCCTCTTCATACGTGAGAAAATTGGATACCCATATGCAGAAAAATGAAGTGTGACTCATATGTCTCACCATATACAAAAATTGACTCAAAATGTATTAAAGACTTACAAGTAAGATCCAAAACTATAAAAGACATGGGGAAATGCTTCAGGACGTTGGTCCAAGTAAAGATTTTATGGCTAAGAATTTAACAGCACAGGCAGCAAAAACAAAAATAGACAAATGGGGCTATATAAAACTACAAAGTTTCTGCACAGCAAAGAAAATGATCAACAGATTAAAGAGACAACATCCTGAATGGGAGAAAATATTTGCAAACTATACATGTGACAAAGGATTAATATTCAGAAAATACAAGGAACTCAAACAACTCTATGACAAAAAAAAACAAAAACAAAAACAAATAATCCCATTAAAAAGCAGGCAAATGATTTAAATAGACATTTCTCGAAAGATAACATAAAAATGGCCAACAGATAGATATATATATATATATTTTTTTTAAATGCTCAATATCACTAACCATCAGGAAAATGCAAAGTGAAACCTCAGTGAAATATCATCTCATCTCACACAGAATGGCTTTTATCAAAAAGACAAAAAATAACAGACGCTAGTGAGGATGCAGAGAAAAGAGGACTCTTATACATTGTTGTGAGAATGTAAATTAAACCAATCATTATGGAAAACAGCATGGAGGTTTCTCCAAAAAAGAAAAAATAAATAAAACTAAAAAACTACCATACAATCTAGCAATCTCACTACTCAATATTTTTCCAAAGAAAAGGAAATCAGTATATAAAAGGAATACCTGCACCCCATGCTTACTGCAGCATTATTTATAATATCCAAGATATGGAATCAATCTAAGTGTCCATAACCAGATAAATGGATAAAGAAAATGTGAAGCTGAACTTGGTGGTTTATGCCTTGTAATCCCAGCACCTTATGAAGCCTAGGTGGGAGGATCGCTTCAGCCCATGAGTGTAAGACCAGCCAGAGCAATATAGTGAGATTTGTCTCTACGAAAGAAAAATGTTTTAAATTATCCAAGCATGATGGCACATGCCTGTAGTTCCAGCACTTGGGAGGCTGAGGTGGGAGGGTGGCTTGAGCCCAGGAGGTCAGGGCTGCAGTGAGCCACGATCATGCCACTGCACTCCAGCTTGGGTGACAGAGTGAGACCCTTCCTCAAAAAAAAAAAAAAAAAAAAAAAAAAAGGTATGCATATATATATATACACACACACACACATACATACATACACACACACATATGATATGCATACACAAGGGAATACTATTCTGCCATAAAAAATAAAATCTTGTTCCTTGCAGCAACAAAGATAGAGCTGGAGGTTACTATATTAAGTGAAATAAGCCAGGCTCAGAAAGGCAGATATCACATGTTCTCATTCATATGTGAGAGCTAAAAAAGCTAATCTCCTGAAGGTAGAGAGTAGAATGAGGCCTGGCACAGTGGCTCATGCTTGTAATCCCAGGACTTTGGGAGGTTGAGTCGGGTGAATCACCTGAGGTCAGGAAAGACCAGCCTGACCAACATGGTGAAATGCCATCTTCACTAAAAATACAAAAATTTGCCTGGCATGGTGGGTGTCTGTAATCTCAGCTACTTGGGAGGCTGAGGCACTAGAATCACTTGAACCCATGAGGCAGAAGTTGCAGTGAGCTGAGATCATGCCACCGCACTGCAGCCTGAGCAACAAGGTGAGACCCCATCTCAAAAAAAAAAAAGAAGAGTAGAATGATGGTTACCAAAGGCTGGGAAGGGTTTGAGGATAAGGTAGTAATGAAAAGAGGTTGGTTAATGGGTATGCAAATGAAGTTAGAGAGAAGGAATGAATTCTAGTGTTCAAAAGCACAATAGGGTGACTATAATTAACAATAATTTATTGTATATTTCAGAACAGCTAGAAGGGTTGAAATGTCCTCAACATAAAGAAATGATAAATGTCTGAAGTGATCGATATAATAAATACCCTGATTTGATCATTACATACTGTATGCATGTATCAAATTATTACATATGCCCCATAAATACGTACAATTATTATGTAATAAGTAAGAAAAGAAGACTACTTGCATATCTGGACCTGAGAGGGAAGGCAAGCACAGGGAAGTCTGGTAATAAGGTGAAAGCACCATAGAACAAAGGACAGCACAGCAAATTTTACCTGGTCTTCTCTATGATTAAGAGGAATCCATCTTGAGCTTACACAGGGTACAGTTTCAAACTAGGCAAACCAAGGATAAAGACTCCAAAGAATTCTTTAAAATGTAGCTCGGCCAACTGGGTTACAATGTGCCCTAAAAAAGTCAGTCTATTCCAGAAACCATGTTAGATTTTGTGATCCTCCTTGAGCTTATAGAACGTACAGATTTAGATCAGAATTTCTCAAACTCATGTTTGTTAACCCATTTGGAGGTATTTGCATGTTCTCTATTGAAATATATCATTGCGAATTTATTAATTCAGGGTTGCTGATAATCTAAAGTAAGCATAGTCTGGGTAATCTGGGTGGCTACCTGGTAACAAAATGCCACCTCGCAAGTCCAGTTTGCCTTTGTGTTTGCAGTCAGATTGTTGCCAAGGAGTCCCACTTTAATTGACTCCAGCTATTTAGCAATTAACAGAGGGAGAGTCAGAGGTAAATAAGACTTTTGCTTCAAATGACTTCACAGTGCTCTGAAGGAATGCAAGTGTTTCATTATTTCGAATAGAAAAGAGTAGTGAGAAAATTACATCTTTCATAGCACCCAGTGGGAAAGGCGGACCAAACCCAAGAGAACCTGAGCCATAGCCACTAACACTATGTTTCATATTAAAGAACTTATGTTAATTTATAGTTTGTTAATTTTGCAGAGGAGATAGTTGGATGTAATTTGTACATTTGTTTTGAAAAGAGCTACAAGCTATTAGAGCAGAAAGCATAAGTTTGTGATTACTTTTAGTTTGTACATATTTAAGGAGTATTTGAATTTAAAGGATTGTATCAATAATAGAATAGTAAAGGAATTCAATACATATGAACAGTTTTAATCACATGAAAGATGTTCCTCATCACTCATAAGACATGAAAATTAAAATCACAATGAGATTTTCTTTAATACCTTATAAAACATGGCAGGCCTCTTCACATATACACTTCCTATCATCTGCCCTGTTTTTATTTCTCCAGAGCACCTGTCATTAACATAATTGTATTTTGCTTACTTATCACATTTATTGCCTACCTTTTCTTCCACTGTACTTTCTCCCAGAATTTTTTTTTTTTTTTTTTTTTTTTTTGAGACAGAGTCTTGCTCTGTTGGCTAGGCTGTAGTGCAGTGGCGTGATCTCAGCTCACTGCAACCTCCGTCTCCGGGGCTCTAGCAGTTCTCCTGCCTCGGCCTCCTGAGTAGCTGGGATTACAGGTTTGTGCCATCATGCCCAGCTAATTTTTGTATTTTTGGTAGAGATGGGATTTCACCATGTTGACCAGGCTGGTCTCGAACTCCTGACCTCAGGTAATCTGCCCACCTCGGCCTCCCAAAATGCTGGAATTACAGGTGTGAGCCACTGCTCCTGACCACCTTCCCCCAGAATTTAAGCTTCATAAAAATCGAATTCTTACCACCTTATCCACTGTAGCGTCCTCAATTGCCTATAATGATGTCCAGCACATAAGAGGCACTGTATTATTTGCAGAAGGAAGGAAGGAGGGATGGGGGGAGGGGAGGGGAGGGGAGGCAGGTCTATGACCCAGCAATTCCCCTTTGAGGCACAGACCCTGCCGAAACTCAGTCATAGAGACATGCACGAAGCCGTACCATTTGCAGCAGAAGAAAATTGGAAAAACTCTAAATGTCCTCGATAAAGGAATGAATAATTGTATCATGTGTTTATACAAGGGAACTTAGCAATTAACATGAATTAAATTGATTGACAAGCCTAAAAATCAAAAACTTTGCTGGGAGAAAAAGGTAAATTACAAAATACATGTGCAGTAATGTATAAATGCCCAGATAGACAAGTTCTCCTCCGAGTACGGACAAGTGAAGAGAGGGAGGAGATCAAGGGAATGGTAAGGACAAATGGAGAACTTAGATTCTATCCGTCATTTTTATTGCTCTAGAATTTTTTACCTGAAGAAAATATGGCAAAAAGTAATATTTGTTAAATCTGAGTAGTGGGTACATCGGTGCATTTTCTATGTTTCTCTGTATTTTTCTGTTAAAAAAATGTTTCTTAACT